TCTCATTGTATTAGTATCTAAGATCAGCCCCCTCCTTGAACCCATGGGAACTTTTATGATCCACAACCTCTTGCAGCAAGGAGTTCTCCAATTTCCCTCCACCTCACATGAAGAGCCACATCTTTCTGAATACAGTGCCCAGTAGTTTTTATTGATAACTCTATTTCTTGTATTAGAAGAGGTACTGAACAGACAGCCCTTTCTTATCCTCTACAAGATAACTGTGTTTTCATAGACATTTATGATATCTCCTCTCAGTTGTCCTTTCTTCCTAACTGAGACCCAGCCTACTCAGTGCTCTCTGGACCTCACCAGCTCCATATATTTGTTCACCCATTTTACCCTCCAAACCCTTTCTTATTGTACTATTTCAATTCTGAGACAAGAAGAACAGGACCAGTCATTGTATTTAAGATCTGCACAAATCATTAATTTATACAGTGGCATGGTAATGTAATCTAATAATTCCTAGTATCTGATTTGCTTTATTGACTGTTCCTGAGCAGTGAGGTGACATTTTTGTAGAGCAGGCTCTCACAGCCCCAAGACTGTGTCGTTTCTGTCCCACTCAAGCCCCCATCCACCCTGAGTAGTAATGATCAGGATAAAGCTAGTAATTCTAATTTAAGAAATGAAAAATGTTGTACCTAAGAACAAGAGTGTCTGCCAGAGACCTCCACAGGGACAAGTGAGGAAACTCAGGGAACAGTGGCCCACAAAGACAGAACAAGACCTTTATAACAATGTTTGGATCCAGAAAGATGGTGGTCAGTGACCTGACACAGTCTGCTGAGCAGCTGGGCCAGTACAACACATAAACAATTTAATCGAGCACCTCTTTTACTGAAAATGAAGAACAAAACCTTAATAAATCAACAATTACTTATTGCTGTATTTGGGATAATAAATTCTTTAGTTTATCAGTAGCTTGTGGCTTCCATAGCATGTTCTTTGAACAGTTTGCCTTTCAGTTACATCCCCTTTCTCTCCTGAACAATAAATTAGCATTCATTTTTCTTTTAAAGGAAAAGAGGGGAAAAAGAGGATATATTACAATTTTTTTCAAAGCAAAAAGAAAAATGCAACACATTATTGACATATATCTTAAAATAATATGAGGATAACTTTCTCCATGTGTTAGATGCCTATGTATAAATAATAAAGGATGTTATGTTATTTACAGCGTTACACAATAAACTAAGAGAGTCTTATTAAACACATAATCCATAAAGACAGTAAATGATGAAAACATCCAAGTATGTACAAGATGTATTTACAATAGAATAGAGAATTACAAATGATTATAATTGGCCATGTTCTTTGTCTGCCCTTCTCTGCAGCATTTCATAGGTGCTTTTTTTGTTTCTTACTAGAAGTAAGTCCCAGCTGATGGTAAGTAGCCACACTGCAGGGCCAAAGTGTTCAACAGGCTGAGAAGTGTGTCCTTTGAGGGGAATCATGTCTGCTCTCCTGGATGCTCAGGAAACTGCTTGCACTGTGTGTGAGAGAAGCAGGGAGATGCAGCGTTGCTGTTTTGGAGGACTAGAAAGAGAAGGATCTTTCCCATTTCCTTAATAAAGGCAGTGATTGATCTCTTAAACCTTGGGGTGTTGGGGTGGCTCAAGTGAGGAGGGGAATAGGTGGGCCAGGAGGAGGGAGTAGGTTATTCTCTGTTACATGAGAACCTCTGTGGAGCTGTAATGATTTACACCAGCCGAACAGGCAGGCTGTACCAGGTTGTGCACAATGTGTTCCAGCTATACACCCCTGAAGGAAGCCTTTCATCCTGGAATAATTCCTGCATGTAAACACATACACAGGGAAAACTCATGGCTGAAGTTAAAGGACATGGAAAGAAACCAGGGCAATCTGAACAACTTTGCCACCACTGGAGTATTTCCCCCATCTTCAAAGTACATGTCTCTTTCCGTGAGCTGGCAAGGGTTATACAGTGATGGCTCAAGGGTGTTGGAACTGACTAGCTCAAAGGTCCAGGTAATGAAGCAAATATCCCCAACAGGGGAGCTGGCCTTTCCCATATGCACTTGCTGGCTCTGCTCCATGCTTGCTGCAGTTTCCAGCCCCTTGGCCAGCAGGAGCTGGCTGCAGCCTGCCAGCAAACCCTGTGGCCATGTAGACTTGCTGACTTTGGGGTGTGGACTTGACTGACACGGAGCACCCTCACAGTGTGCTAAAGCAAGTCCAGAGATGAGGGGCTGCGTCCTGCTCCCACTTCTGTGAGTGCCAAGGCAGGGCAACTCCCATAACTCACTGTTGCATGAATTGTGCTGTAAGGCTGGGTTCTCCCCAAAGACCTAAGGGCTTAGGCAGCCATATCCCCAATTGTATTTTCTTGTTCTTAGGTCCATGTGAAGTCCCCAGCCTATTTTCATGCTTACCCTACAATACACTACTGTATGTACCGGGAGGAGGAGGAGCAGGGACTGCGCATCACTCTGACTTTGAGGCACTGCAACAGAAGAGGTGTGACATTTTCCCCTAGGCCTACACCAAATCAATCTCACATGTACAGTTCCCAAGCATGGAATTGCTCCTTTGTTTTATACTGGCCCTCTACAATAACAGTGTTAGTAGTCAAATAATTTACTCGACTTCCAGGCAAGTTCCCTTTCCATCCTGATTAATCTGTCTGGGCTGTCACAGACACTTCAATGAGAGCTGGCCTTGTGAGTAATCTATACTGGAGAAGATTACAGAAGACCTGTGTTATAATCTCTATTCTGCCACTAAAATGTGTCATTTTGGGGCAAATCTCTTGTTCTTCTGCCATCCTTTTTCTGTCTTGTCTCTCCTGTAAGATCTTTGCAGCACCAGAGACCTCACTGAAAGGACAGATTTTCAAGTGCCTCTGAAAACTCAACAGTGCAAATCGTTTGGAAACTGGTGGTCTGCATCAGGAAAGCCCACCTGGCCTTCTGTACTACTGAGTTGCAGAGTTACTGGGGAGGTGGATGTTCTGCTGCACGGGATTGCAGATAAATAGGCATGACTAAAGGGATGAAAATGAGTGTATGGTATCTAGAATTTGTGGAGAGCTTTTGTTTTGGTCTGCAAAGGCAAAGTGTGTTCAAGTACATGCTAGCTAGGGAAAAAACGGCAAAGGGGACTTAAGTCCAGACAGTATGTATTTGATGAACTCTGCCATATCCCATAGACTTCTCAAATAAGCAGTGCTATTTCAGCCACCACACAGCTCAAAGCTGTGCTAGTTTCCTATCCTTTTGCTTCTACCACCAACATCCTAGTGTACAACTTTGTCATAATCTTCTACCTACACTAAGGTTTTTCTGTTCTTTTTCTGCTGAATCTGATAGTCAGGTAGACTCAGCCATGTTCTTACTAATGTGATGTGGTTGATTTACACAGTGAGCAACTCACTGATTTTCATAATCCTGATAAACAGCTTCATTTACTAGACTTTGCTTTCAGGTCTGAAATCTATAGGACACCTTGTTCAGCAAAACTCTTGAGTGCATGCTTAACTTTATGCATGCGCTGGATGCGTCAATGGGAGTCTAGCACATGCTGAAGATAAGTTTTGCTAGAATTAGCATAAGCATATGCTTGAACAATTTACTGAGTCAGGACTTCAGTTCCTCAGGTTTACATCTCATAAAACTTCCTTGACTTATTTCTCTTCATTTAACTGGGACCAGGATGTGGCCCAAAGGATGAGTGTAGTTTGGCTGAAATTCTTTTTCTCTTGACACGGCTCTTTAATATTAGAGTCCACTAATACCTGTAGAACATATGTTCTCATTTTCAGAATCCCTGGAGTCTAGGAAAAGCATTTGTTTTCCACATCAATCCTGAGTCTATGCTGTGCCAACTGAACACACAACAAAAATCAAAAGAAGAGAACAGGCAGAGTGAACCTGACTAAACTGATAGGAATTCAGTGCAAAAGAGGCCATTTGCTTCTGTCTGAATGGATGCAAACGCTCCAGCACTGACAGCATCCTTGTTCATTACTAGTCAAAGACTTCAAGGCCATATAAATACTGATATCAAATAGCGACACACACTATGGCTGTAACTCACGTGGTGTGCATGCCCTCATAAATGGGCTTTGTATTAGCCTTGCTTCTCTCACCCCAAATAATGGAGTCAAAAAGGAGAGTAGAAATGAACTCCACACGTCTGCTATGTCCTTCCTACTTGCCTATACTTTTTAACCATTCAGCAAATCAGTTCTTTCCTGAAAGTAATTTCTGTGTCCAAGAGTAACCCTTACTCCAACAGAAACTCTAACAAGGTATTGCTAGAAGCTTGCAGGGTTCTCTCTGAAGAGGAGAAGTAAGGGGAGAAAACTGAAGGGAAGTGAAAGGATGAATCATCTATTAGAAATCAACATTACAAAATAGAGGTGAAAACTGATTGCACTTCTATTAGTGGCATTTGTTTTCCAGCTAGATCTCTTCCTTGCTTGGTTACAGATATCTGCTATTGTATTTGCCCCATTAACTTAAACTACTATAAATATTTTTTTCTTTTTTCTTTTTTTCTTTTTTTTTTTTCCTTTTTTTAAAATAGAGTATTGGGTTCAAAGCCTCAGCTAACCTAAACCCATTTTCTAAGGGATAACTAGAACAGTTAATATCTGGAAAATAATGAAATGGCAGCTCCTACTGATTACAAGCTGACCTCTGATTAATAATATATTTGGTTTAAAATCACAGTATTACTTTCTTTCTATATGTAACATTATTTAATGCAGGTTGACTTTTTTTTGGTTGGTTGTTTTTGTTTGTTTGTTTGTGGTTTTTTTTTTTTTTTTTTTTATCCTGCTGTAACTAATAATAGCATGCTGTTGGATCTACTATTATCCCAGTGCTCAAAGAAGCAAACCTTATGGCTGGCAGAGAGCAGACAAAACTAATTTCATATACGGAAAGCAAATAAAACTCATTATACAAGAAAATATTTTTTTTGTCATTTTTTAAGCTTTTTTTTTTTTCCCTCTTTGTGTGTGTGTTCTTCTGGTGGGGTGAGTAGGGTGGGAGTGCCATTACAGGGCTTTTTGATCTGGGGATTTTACAACAAGCGGCCAGAGGGACTTCTGCAATTCTTGCAAATCATACATCCAGTCATTATAATGCAGTGCACAAAAAAGCCAGGACAACTGAGGGCTAGAAGGTTTTGCAAAATACTATGGGACAGCAATCATTGTAACTGTACAAAACTTGCTCTCAACGTAACATAACATAAAGGCACCATTGATATCTTTCCCCATTTTTGAAATACTGTAAAAAATTGCTACATATGGCACATAACACATTTGTACATACGTATATTTAATTTATAAAAGTTTTTTTTCCCTCTCCTGTTTTCTATCAGCTGAATTGCTAAAATAAAATAAATTGTTTAATTTAAAGGTGGAATACTTTATTATATAAAATAAAGTTTTACATGTGAATCTATGTGTTTTATGTTTTATACAGCAATAGGGTCTTGGTTAGCTATCACATTGGACAACCTTGCTTGCAACTCTTCTGGTGTGGAGAAGCGATTCGCTGGGTTAGTCCTGCTCTCAGCCAGCCGGTAGGCAGCGGCTGGCTCCAGACTGGTCGCCATGGGGTTCGGTATGCTCAGGAATGGTGTATCTTCACCTATTCTTTCATCTTCAGTTTCACTCTCAGAGCTGCTGCTCTCAGAGCTTGTGTTGGAGTCCACTTCCACCCTGTTGGAAATGTGGCCATTGGGCTTCGTTCTTTTGACCCTCCGGCTGTTGGTGAATTTCTTTGGAGGCTCCTGTGCTGGTTCATACTCCTGCGTGGTCTCATACTCCTCGTCCTCCACTATCCGCAGAGGACTTGGTGGCAGGCTGTTGCTCTCGTGGGCAGCGTTATGGTGGAAGGAGTTGAACTGCTGAAGGTGGTGGTCATACTTCTCACGTAGCCGTGGCGGGGTCACCAGGAGCAGTGGTCGCTCCTCTTCTATGAAGGGACTCACTGCCACTGAAGGGACGGAAATGGTCAAGCTGGAAGCCGGTGGTGACATTTGGGAGTGTGGGGACTTGGGAGAAGTCGGAGTGTGGAAATCAACAGGTGACATGCGAGCTGGTGTGGTCATAGCTGAAACATACCTGAAGAAAAGAGATGGGGAAAGGTTGCAAGCACAGGAGCGGTGGTGGTATGTGAACACAGCTGCTCACAGGGGCTGGGAGGGAAAAGGCAGGAATGGGATCCTTTAAGATCCCCAGCATCCTCACACAGGGCTACTGGGGAAACTTTCCTGTTGCTATTAATCCTGTAAAACCGCTGACTTCTAGGACTCTGAGCAAAAACATTTGAGAGCAGGAGGAGCATAGCAAAGCCCCCAGGTCTGTTTGCCTCAGAAGAGCCATGGAGATGCTGTAAATTATTTGCCAGAACAACTTCCTGGAGTGAATCCAGGAATGGGATTCAGAGACTGGGGGGCTGCCAGAAACAAAATGCATTTGCAAGTATTTTCTCAAGAGGAAAATCGCTGCTGCACTTCTGGCAGTATTTGACCAAAACTTGGTGCGTATGCAAACAGACAGGAGGAAAGAAAGGAAGGGAATCAAGGGACAGTCCTCTTGTGGCTTCACCCTCTTCTGGCAACCTGATTGTCTCAGGCTAAGGAGGAAAACAAAGTTTGGACAAAATCTAGAGCTAGATTCTGTTAATTTTAATCACAGGGGGGAGTCAGAGGAGGATTTGCAGCATCATCCCAGGAGCTTTGTGCTGCTCTACTCCCTGGGTGCTAGTTATGCAGGCTGGTATGTCTATCTGCAAAGAAACATGGAGCCTTAGTTGTCCTCGTGTGGGAACAAATGCTGACAGAGAGGGCTGTCTGGCCTAGTGTTCATGATTGCTCTGCAAAATTTGCCACTATTCCTTCATAAGTTTCTGTGGGAAGGATAGTGATCAACGGTGATTTCTGAAAGTGAAGCTCATCTGCCAGTACAGAGTTTGTCCCAAAGGAAGAAGACAAAAAATGTGAGACTCTCAGCTGGTTTGAATCAGCAGAGCTCCATGAGGTCATGTGGATTCATGCCAGGTGGGGATCTGCCTGAAAACTTCTGATCAAAGGCACAGTGCCCAGCATGATATTCTGCATTGTTTGGCTTTGTTTTTGATCTCATACTAAGTTCACCTGCCTGAATTTCATTTGTGTTCAAATTTAAAATCTTTCTAAGCTCCATCCCTCATACAGGCCCATTGAGACAAGTTTTAAGGCTATGATTTATTAAGTTATTTCTTTTTTCATTAGTGATTTATTTATCTGAGTCTGAAATTACCAAAATAATCTGAATCCAACTTTCATATCCAATCTATGACTCAGTTGCACATATCACACCTGATTAAAACAGAGCTATTGGATAAAACAGAAACTGGGACAGATCCTGAAGTGATGTGTAGTAGAGTAAATTGGTTTCAGTTGAGGTACATTGATTCACATCAACTGAAGAACAGGAGAAAGAACAACAAAACTGGACTAATGCATGGGAATTAATCAAGTTGTTTGCTAGTGAGGGCAGAGGGCAATTAGTAGGTCTGTGCATTGGATGAATTAATTCATTCTTTATTTTTCCTTCCATGAATGAGCTTTTCATTCCTTTCACATTTTTAAACAGGCATTGTCTGAAAAACTGAAGCCTTTCTACTTCCCCAGCTGGTACAGTCCTGGGCATGTGTCTTCTTGACACACTGGAATTTAGCACTAAGTTAGTTAAATATGTTCAATGTACTGTGCATGCTTCCATCAGTGTCAAGTTACTCATATTGGGGTATTCTACATTCACACTTTTCTAGTGTATTCCCCCACACCATAATGGGAAACAGTGCTAACAAGCTGCTGTCCGTGAGCTGAGGCACAGGAGCCAAACACATGCAGTTCTAGACCATCGCGAAAGGAAGGTTATAAGGTGATAGATTTATCCAATTTCATGGTCAACAAGAGGTAAACCATGCTGGCTCAGTGAAAGGGGATCAGAGTGTATCCATAGCCAGCCCACAAGTGTTAACTAGTTACATGCTGTCAACTTCATTTTATACTCTAGCCTTTTGTGCTGAGATGGTGCTTTTTGATCTTCTCTCATGTAAGATGGCTAAGGACTTTCTAAAATATAGCTGCTTGGGTCTTCTGCTCATGTAAACGGGTGTCAGGGTATGGGATCCAACAAAGAGATGGAGTAATGCAAAAGAACCCCTTATAATGTCTACTCTATTTAATTTCAAAATTGTGAAGTAGCTGGGGGACAGGAGGGTGGAGGGAGCAGAGACTACCAATTCACAGCACAGCAATACTTGATGGCTTCAGGAAGTAATTTGTCAGCTTGTACATTCCTTAATGTTTCAGAGTCATTCTTAGTTGCAAATAACTCTCATTTTCCCCCTTATGTACACACACATACAAGCAATCCATCTCAGAAATAATCTGACATGTATTTCCTGCCTGCTAAAAATAGATGAGGTCTAATTTAATGCTCAGGGAACTATCTTCTGCATTCCAAACTCACGGTCATTTCAGGCAGAGGCTAGGCCATCAATGCCTGGTGAATTATCACAGAAATGTTGCTGGTTTTCACCTGTAGCATAATCTTCAAGAAACCATGATTGATGAAATGCCTTCTTTCTTCTCATCAAAAAGGAAGGGCACACATTCCTTTTGCCCGTGCTAAAATCTGAACAGCTAATATCAGAATCACGTTCTGGGTGTCCCACGCAATGTGGGAAAAGAGTGCGAATGATCTTTACTTCTCACACGTAGATGCCCAAACATACTAAGCTGCAATACTCATTACCAGCGGGCGTGTGGCCGTGCATCTTGTACGGCTCCCAGGCAGGAGAACAATGCGGTATTTACTGCTATAGGTCCTGATCCAGCAAAGCACTTAAGCCCACACTGAGATTTACCTGCTTGAGTAATCTCACTGATTTCAATGGGGCTACTTGCACGATTAAAAATTAATGTCATTGAAGTGCTCTGCTGGACTGGGGCCATGGCTGTTTATGTCATGTGAGCCACATATCTTGAACTTAAACTCCATGGTAAATAGCAGATTACTTTGTTATAAGGAGAGAGACAGTTCACCATCCTTAGTGGTCCTACAGGCCTTATTCAGGGAGCCCCCAGCCATGGTGCCTTATCCCACTGCTAAGCAGTTCTTTGTGTAGCAGAGGGAGTACCACAGAAATGGCTTTTGCTGTACTTGCACATTCATTTTTCTGTAAAACACAATTTTTCTCCTACACAACTTGGTCTCTTTCCTGGATGCATTTTTGACATCATGGACATCCCACAAGATCAAATCCCTTGTGATTTCACAGTGCTCAGAGAATTGGTCCAGTAACACTCTCCTTTTCTTCTGCCTCTGATTGTTGCGAGCAAAGCTCTCTTTAAATGTCTTGTTTCTTCTCAGTCTTTTTTTTGCTAATCTGGGGCCATCCCATGCTCTTGAGATAAAATCCTAGCCTAAATCTGAGAAGACTTTTTCAGTAAAAGTTTTCTTGCAACTGATGCACAAGTCAGTCCTTAGGTACTGATGAACCACCCTTTTCACAGAACATATTTCTTTGTTGGAAAACTCCTGGCCAGCTTTATTTCTAACTACTCATGATTTAATAACGACCTGGGTTTTTCTGTCTTGCACTTTGTGTTCCTTGCCTTTATTTAATAAAGTGTCAAGGGGAATTTTTGAAGGTGACAATGGGTTTAGGAGTTGGCATCTCCCAGAAAGTAGGTGGCAGCAGAACTCCTATACTGCTTAGGAGTTCTTGGTGCTGTTTTCCTACGGATCAATACACTGCTTTCCCCCCACCTTTTGTGTCTCACAAAATCCCTCAGTTTTCTCAATCACTTCTTCCGAGAAACTGATAATTAGTCAAAAATCCATTTTAACTTTACAATGGAAATTTCTGACAAATTACTTCAGTGGAGCTTATCCAAATTTGAACTGCTGGCTAGTAGGAATAAATCAGCAGAAGCAAGAAGGGAAGAAATGCTGTTGGTAGATTTTAAACTACTACTAAGCTCTCCACCTTTACAAATGAGGAGATGTATGCCCTACATGAACAGCTGCACTGTTGGGTTACCTCCTGTGCTCCCAAGCTTTGAAACCACCTGGGAACACCAGGTCTTGCCAGCTGAAAGCAATGGAGTGGTGTGTCCTACCTTTCACTGTGAGGAGAGTCTCTGTAGGAGTCAGGGGTCTCTCTTGCATGCCGGAGGAAGCTGTTGCCTTCCCGTGGCCCACCAATGCCATTGAGGCGGCCCCGGGGCCCTGCTGGGCTGGTGTGCCTGCTGTTCTCCATGGAGGAACTGACAAGTACCGAGTGGCTTTCAGAGATGATGCTTTCAGTGTGGCCATTACTCCAGCTGGAGATCAGCAACCAGGAAAGGAGAAGAAGGGAGGGGAGTGTGAGAGGGTGCTTCAGTGGCAAATGCAGATGAGCGGAAGTTTAGCCAGGGGAAAGAAAGGGCTCTGCTGCCACTCGGGATGGGCAGCTTAACTTTGGGTTGGTAACTGGGGCTTGCAGAGTTTTGTGAATTGTATGAATCCACATGCATCAAGATGACTTTGCATATGTGAATAAAAGGGGAGGGAAGCAAGGCTTTCCAGTCACCAGGACTGTCACTAATTTAGCAATTGGCACATACTAAGACTCACTTTAATAGCATTGGAATGCCATTCAGTCAATAAAGCTCTTTGTAAATTCCTGGAAAACGAATTAGTTAGGTGAGATGACATCGAATATCATTAGTCTTAAAACGAATACACTACAAATGGAACATAGATTTTTCTGGGTTTGTTTTTTTTCACACATCTTTTTGGTTTTGCAACAGCAACAGATCAGATATTACAGGTGCTCTTTGCCTTCCCCCTCCAGTACCTGTGGCTAGGTGTCTGGGTGACTGTCACAGAGTGATGTGTTGTTGAGGTGTAGTGGCTTGTCGAAAATGAGGTCTCTGTTTCTCTCTCGATTACATGCTCACTGGAGATTACGTTTTTTGAAATGTACTGCTGAAAAAAACCAGACAAACCTCAGGTTTACAAACTGTAATTCACAGCACACTTGCAGATGTAATTTCCAATCCCTTCCCTCTCCCCCCGCCAAGTCACAGTTTTTGACATGTGCCAAAGCACAAACCTTGTCACTTAAATACAGGCAGATTCCACACTGTCACAGTTAAGTACATTCATAGACATGTCTCCATATATATGTCATTTAACTCAAAGTAGGAGGCAACAAATGAGGAAATTAGCAAAGTTCTGCATCCCAATCAGGCTATAAACAACATACTTAGTTACCAAAGAAATGAGAAGTCCTCATGGATAGAGACCTGGAGAGGCAACGCCCCCTTTGCTACCAAATAAATCAAAAATACTGTTCTCTGATAGAGAAGACAGCTGTAGTTAGCAGTAGCAGGATAAGAATCTGGGCAGGAAATCGCTATTTTCAGTGCCCATGGATGCAGCACCATGGCAGACCTATTCATCAGGGGATGGTCTCCAGAATGGGCCAAAGCCTCCTGAGATGGAGCTGGAGGTGCGCAGTGTCCAACCTCCCACGCACCTCTCATCTGGAACCCCCACCCCCAGTGCTGTTGCTGGTAGGACGCTCCCTTCTCCTCACTGGGGACTCCTGCTTTCTCCTCTCTTAATAATCTGTCTATGGATTTAGTTCTTTTGAGGGGAAATATTGGAAGTTGAGCTCTTCTGAAGAGGTGTCTTGGCCTTAACCAAGGTCAGTAGGAGCTTTGCCATTGACTCAGCCAAGCCAGGGCTCAACCCTGCAACAAGCTGTCACGAATATGTGCAGTGATGGTGGAGCAGGAGAGCAGGGATGGCTCAAGCCGGTGGGAGGCTGATGTTCCCTCTGAGCGCCAAGCTTCCCTAGGAAAGGGAGGAGAGAAGGAAGTGGCTACAGGCAGCATGAGCCCTGGCCTCTAAGACCAAGGGGCTTGGCCAAGTGGTTAGTTGAAGAGTAACTCTGCGCTGCTCTGACAAATGGCTGGAGGATGCTGGTGGGGTATCTGCCCCAGCCCCATCTCCCCAGCTGCTGCTACTGTCCAGGTGAGATCTTAATTCAGACTTTTACTCCTGAGTTCATAATGTCACATTTCTGATTTGAGGGATCTGTCCCTACTCACCAACCATCAGGCCAAGGGCAGTAGGAAGAGCAAGATGTGTGTTTGAAGAAGTTTATCCCTGCAGCATTTAGCCATGCTATAGAGACATTAGTATTTTTTTCTAAGGTGGTTTTCTTGCTTTTGGTGTCCTAGATCCACAGGCACAGCTGAAGCACTGTGGCATGCCCCAGTAAATTGGGCATCTGCAGAAACATGTCTCTTTTTACTTCCTTTTTTTTGCAAAGTCCCTAATTGTTTCTGGGTGGAGAAAGCCAAGAGAATTCAGTCACCAGCCTGCAACAGGTAGAAGTTTAAAAGCTGTGAGGCAAGCCTTGCTGTGGTGCTGGCAGCCTAGGCTGAAGTGGGGCTAGTAAAACCTGCATACACCAGTGAGCAGTAAAACCTACATTCACCAGCTGGACGTTATCTGGCGGTGGGTTGGGGTGGTGTGGTCCGTTGGCCACGTTCATCACATTGTTCCTTTCTGAGCGCAGGCTCTGCCGAAGGCGGTCGTGCAACTTTTTCCTCTGCTTCCTGTGCATGAAACGCGGAAATGATTTTAAGAGTCAAAGGGAAAGCAGCTGCACCTTTCAGCATGTTAAAGATGATGATAATAATATAACATCACTTTTTTTGCCAGCACATTCCCCACCACTGAAAGATCTCAGAGTAACTCTGAAGACCACAGGTCTAATTGCAGCTGGAGCTATGGGGACCTGCAGAGGGGGAAGGATGTGTGGGAATCCTTCCAGGAGTCAGGAGGCCACAGAGGGACAGGAAAAAGTACGAGGAATAGTGAAGCCATTTCTAAGCCGTGCTCTGTCTCAGGAGGAACTCTTTTCTTCACTCAGAGGGGAGGGGGGGAGAGATTTTTACCCAGCTACCTTGACACCCTCACTGCAGCCATGGCAACCCACTGGGTTATGCTTCTCCATTCACCACAAGCTGCCGAGGTGGCCTGGCTTCAGGGCTTGCTTGCAGCCATTGGAAAACATGGTGTGTGCCACAATCTTTGTGATGTGGCAGCTACACATTTTTTTTGTGGGATTTATCCCCTACCTCAGCAGTGCACTCCAAATACATAAATGTGTTAAAAGAAGTGACAGGTGCAGAGGAAGCCCCAGAAATCAGAAGTGAGTGAGTGTGTGAGGTATGCCTGAGCCTCCAGACATCCTGGCAGCAATAGAAGGTTTTGTTATAGCAACGTCACATTAACTCTGGAACCTAATGATTACTATCTGGATGTAAGGGCTGCTAATGCATTCAATAGAACCATCCATCAACCATGGTCTCTGGCTGACTTGGATGCTTCTGCTGTGCCCCATCCTTAGCTGATCATTCTCCAGTAGCTAATCCTTCCAGCTCTCCTCAAGGGAACTTTTCAAGAGATCACTACAAGCTGTCAGTAACAGAACTTGCAACATAGTAAAACCTGGTGCTGTGGAAGCTGTGCACAACATGCTAAACAGAACACCAAAATAAATAAACTGGTAAAGAGCTATTCAATTTCATACTTAATTTATCAATATTGTGTAGTTTTGTCTGATTATACTAGACAACTTCTACCATCCCGCCACAGATCCAGGGAAATGAAGGGAGGACGCAAGCTCCAATGTACTGCAGAATGCATGTGACCTTGGTTGTGGCAAGAGCTAAAATACACACAATTCCCTAAGCCATATTAAGAACTGCAGATATTTTTGGCAGGGTAGGATACTGTAAGATATAACCATTTTCAATCCTGTTTTGAACTCAAGGGGACTATTCCAAGCTTTCCAAAGAGGAGAGGGGAGGAAAAACAATAAATATATGAAAGTTTGATAGCCAGGTAAGCTTAAAGACAAGAAAAACATGACTTGACACACTACGTATTTTCTCTGTGTGTATGTGCCTGGATAGTGGAAGACATTTAATTTATGTCACTCCACATGCACGACATAAGCAGACACAGCTGCCTTGGAAATGCTCCTGTCTCAGCAGGACATGGTTCCTGGTCCACATGGGCTTTGTGTTTGGAGGATAACGAGGCATCATCTTAGGACACAAAAGTGCTTAAGGTGGATGGTGAGTGCAGTGCCAGGAGATACCTGAGCAGCTACCCAAAGACCAGTCTGGGCTGAAAAGCAACATAGAAAAGAGTTTAACTTGATTTCACAGCACCCCTTCATGAGATCTTAGAGACCTTGGGAGCTGAGGACAACCCGAGTCCCCTGACGTGGCAGAGCAAGTGGCTTCTAGAGGGAGTTTGAGTTCATCATCTATGGATCTGAGATCCTGGCACATATCGCCTGGGAATCTGTCCCTAGGAAACTGCATTGCTTCCCACCTTCAGTGATCAGTGTATTTGCATTTTGCATGCTTCCATGTGTGCTGTTTGTCCTCTAGTAAAAGGACACTAACTAAAAAAAGAAATTACTCCAGGAAACTGAGAAGAAAGAATAATGGGAAAGTTAATTGTGTACTTCAATTATTCTGAGCAGCCCTTCCCTTAATGCAAATTCCTTGCAAATAAAGCACCTCTGAATTAAGGCTCAGTGTCAGAAGATATTGCCTTAGCATTTGACCAGCAGTATCTCTTGCAAGGAGATGAACAAAATCTAAGCCATTATATTTTATTTAGTGTGTTCTCCCAAGACCATTCCAGGCTTCCCCTGGTTTCTGGGTTTTCCCCTATTAGAAGGAAAGATCATGGGGGGAACATCTCACATATAGCAGTCTGGCATCACCGCTGCATATGGAGGGCCATGAACTGGCAGCTCACTTTCACTCCCATCAGTCTTGTTTGAAAACATTTAACTTTTGGCTGGCAGTGATCACTGATGTCTGGGACAAACTGTGACAAAGCACCCAGACCCCTGATGGATTCTGGAGGCTCTTTAATATAAAAAACCATACTTCAGGACCACGACTAAATGTTTGCTGCAATTCATGGTGATTCTTGGCTGATTTCAATGAACTTTGGACGAAGAAAAATATTGTTTAGCTGCCCTGGCTTGACAGTTGTAATTTCTAAAAGCAGTAGTTGATCTGATTCTTATTACTGTTTCAGTTGCTCCCTACTGACCACTGGCATATAGTTGTGGGTGGGAGGAGTGTGTGTGTGTGGCTGGATTCTCACCAAGGGGGGCAAATGATTCTCCTCTTCCCCCACTTTTAACACATCTATTACTGATGGGGCTTACAGGGAAAACCAACAACCCAACTGCCAATCTGTCCCTGCAGCAGTAAATATGGTTTATACAAATGTGGAAGATTTATGATAAGGGTTTTCTGTGTTTTAGTGAGGAGATTTATAAGAGCAGCCAGAGTTTTGGCAGCACAAATCCTGCTGATGTTCAGTGTAATTTATGGTCCAGAGTGCCTCAAGCATGTTTGAGAGTCACCCCCAGTAATTTACAGAGACTCACAGAATGCATTTAAGTGCCTACTTTTGCATTGGGAGCACTTCCGCATTCAGTTCTTTGGCCTTTGGTGTTTAGTAACTTTTAGCACTGTTAATCTTGCCTCAAGTACAAACAAACCAGGCTGATACGTAAAATTTACTGCTGGAGAGCAACACAATTCCAGAGTTGGGGTTTGTTCCTTCCCAGCTGGGGAAACTAGCTGGGATGGGTGATAGACAAAGAATTGCAAGTCAGTGAAATTTCCTCAAGTCACATTGGAAGGGTGAGAAGCCTTTCAGATACCTGTCTTATTTTTGCACTGCTGATGGACAGGGGGACCTGCACTCTTCTGGCTTGGACCAGAGCACACTGGCCACAATTTTGTCTCTTCAGCTCTGCTCTGCAGAAACCCAGATACAACCTTATGCTCAGAGAAGTAGAGGCTACAGTCAGCTGGGAAGGCCCTGACCAACAACCACAGATATAAAAAGAAAAAAGAGAAAAGTTTACTTGGTTTTGCAGTAGGCCACCACACACATGATGCCAACTACTAGAAGAGCAATGCAAATGCCAGTTATGGTGAGCACCCGTTTCTGGTACAGTTCCTCAGCTTCTAGAAAGGGACAAAAACAGAGAAGGTCACAACATGGAGGATGGCTACGCAAGGAGCACACAGTCAACAGCTGACATGCTACAAACCACTGTACAGATTCACACAGCCACACTGAAACACAGCCACCACACTTCAGGCAGACTCATTATTGACTGCAAGGAGAACAGGACTACACCATAAGCTCTTAACATGGTACTGAGGATGAGTGATCATCCGTACAAATACAGTCAAAAGTAATCTTTTTTTTTTTGTTTAAGTCAACAAGAATAATAGCTAAGAAACAACTTCACAATTGACAAATGCTCAGCATTTGCTGGAAATAAAAATGCAATGCACTAAGGTAGTAATATGAATTTGCAAATGCCTTGGAAGTTTTGCTCTGCAAAGACAGCTGGAATGAAGGCCAATTTTATGGGCCTTAAGAGAAATTTATTTTCTTATTATCTTTTTTGGATTGTTTTCATATCCAATGTTCCTCTGCCCCCACGTCAATTTAGATCTCAGTTGTCTTTACAGGACAGATTTCAAAATATCCTTCTACATTTGAGACATGAGCTTGGCTTGTAATTATATCATCAATGGAAATTAAGACAGGTTTTGAGCTCTGGTCATGAAATTCAGACTCTTTCTCCAGTGCTCCTTCAAAAACACAGTAATATCAACAGCCAGCAGTGCCTTGTATCAGAGAAATGCTGGGTTTCTACTGCGTCAATTTATGTTCAACAAAGGAACTGCTCCATCTGGAGTGGCAGCTTGCTCAGTGATGACAACTTGTTACCAATCTTGTCCATCAGAGGTATTTCACTATTACAAAGATGTTAGTAGCACTGGTAATGTTTGGGTTGGAGCTACCCATGCATTCCAGCCTTGCTCATGCTTGGCAGAGAGCACCGCTGCATGCTGTGCTGAGGAAATGTTATGTAAGGAGTGCTGAGACAGGGGCATGTTCTGTGTTGACACTTCACCAGATTTACATGCTTTTAGGACAAAAATGAGTGTCTAGGTAGGATTATTTTCTCGAGTCTTATTTTTGATTAAGCAGGTAGTCCAGAAGACTTGCCCTGGAGGATCCAGACTGGAGGGTGGCCTCAGGTTAGACTGCAATATTTGCCACAGTTGGAATACCAGCCGGTGGTTAAAAATAAATGAACGAATAAAAGCTGTGCAGCTCCACACTACCTTTGGGATAAATGCCAGCATTATTCCTGCACAAAGGGACTTACATGAACACAAATCGTGGAGCAATTCACCAGGAGGTACAGAGATGCACAGTGGTCCCTCAGACGTGCCATGAGTCTCTGTCCAAGCTCAGGCACTTAGATGATATGCTGTCATAAATGCCATGCCGGTTCAGGAGAAAATGCTCACTACTGAAGAGGGAGCAGTCATTCCTCCATTGTGTTTCCCAGGCTTATCTAGTTTAGTTTTAAAGTTGCTGTGGGCAAATGGCAAATATTCCACGCAACAAACCATAAAGCAAAAAGAAATTTTAATTTCTCTGATGCAATGCACCTTACCATGGAATGAGTTTGTCCTACAAGCCAAACCCACTGTAAACCAAAACACCAGCAAACAGGTGACGAGCACTGTCAGACAAAATTAATAGCACTGATTATTAACAAGGGGGGAGGGAGGGGAAGAAGTGAGTTTGGTAAAACTAGGATGCTGCAAAAATGTATTAAAGAAAACAAAAACATAACTCCAAGAACAGAAAGTCAAAAAAAGGAAGGAAGGAAGAAAGAGCTGAAACTCCAAACCAAATCAGGACAAAGAGGAAAAGAGGAAGGTGAAATACAGGGAGAAACAAGGTTAAAGGGTTGAGAAGTCAATGGCGGGCCTGGCACAGCATGCTTGATACTGGAAAAAATAGAGTGAAGAAATGCTTGGGGACAAAAAAAAAAAAAGTCTGAAGCAGAGTGTGAAGGGATTTCTCATACAGCATAACTCCTTGCCTAGGCTAGTTAGTGGCATTTGATCCCCTTACCATTTTTGCCCCTTCTGAAAGCACTTATTAGTTAGCCATGGAAATGGTGTATTACAAGGATGTCACAGGAAACAGAAGAATTGCGCTAAGCAATTTAAGGGCAAATTTTAAATGCTTTGAAATTATTTTTTTTTTTTTTGGTCATGCTGTCAGCTCTTAGCTTGTGAAAGCAAAATGAATAAGGACCTATCAACCCATTTTTCTTGGAGGGGAAGAGAGAGGAGGAAGAAGAGTAATTAACAGTGAAAACTCCACTTGGTTGTTTATCCTCAGGGAAAAATTGCACTGACTCCAGGAGGTTTACTCCAGGCTGAGGCTGTTGCAAATGAGCCAGGTGGCTGGCCAGTGATGGCCTTGCTAAGGCTGCCTGTGGGTTGAGGCTTATCACTTGTGTGTTGGACGCTCCTGGGCTCTCACTCACTGCAGGAGAAGGGGGTACAGCAAGTGAGTAGTGCTGTGGGTGCAGCCTTGAGCAACGCTCCTGGCACCAGCAGTCCGTCTGGGACTGTAGGTCTCATGGGGCACGGAGGGGTATGCTTTCATTGCCTTAATTCCCTCCCATACACTTCGAAACAAGGCCCTTAGGACGATCCAGCTTGACATGGTGTGCATCAACGGAGGTGCTGCCAGGCCGTCCCTCAATCCTTGGAAGGGGGGAATGGCTGCCTGGGGAGGCACACATGTCCAGGCACATCTTGCCCAGCAAACCAGCAAGCTCCCATGTAAACCTGGCCATGCTCCTGGCTGACGAGGTCTACCTGCCTGGGACGACAAGGGCTGACTGGGGGACACCTGGGTGTCCTGTGGGCCGAGGTGGGTGGCAGGGGATGCTGGCAGCTGGGCTGGGTGAGGATGTGGGCCATGCAGGCAGTGTGGTGCCTTGAGGGCGAGCCTCAGCCCCCTGTTTAAGGCTAGAAGAGATGTGCAAAGCAGTGATCGAACTCCTGCAGGGCAATGGTGGCTATGCTGGGTCCCACCCCAAAACTGCCCTGTCTCTCTGACCAGTGTTAACATTTACAGAGTCAGTTAATGACACCCAGCCAAATGACATGCATCGTGTTTGCAGTGTGCATCAAACTGGCTTGAAAAATATTAATAGCAGCCTTGGGGAAAAAGCCATAGAGAAAGGTATGTGCAGGGAGAATTTAGAAAAAGTTTTAGCCTTTAAAGTTTAGTTAAGTACTAAAAATTGTTTGAATACATTTTTTTCCTCTGCAGAATGCTAGGAAAATCAAATCAACATGAAACTTAAGTCAAGATATTAAATCCCTCCATATGCAGCCTTTCAAACATGCACACTATGCAATTAATTTCACATCACGCTAATTTATACATAGTTGATGATATATATAGATGTCTTAAATTTGCTCTGTTTGAAAGTTTTTCTTCTTACAGTTATCTGAGGTTTTTTTAAAGAATTTAATCCCAAAAGGTGGTTCTGCTGACATAATTTCATATATAAAGCAAAATTTGCAAGTCCTTTTTTTAAAAGGATTTTAATTTAATTCCTCATATGTTAATGTAGGTATATATCTTCTACTACAGTCTAATACTTCTGAGTAAGAATTAATATTATCTTGTGATAATAATAATAAAAATAAACTGGGTTGTGAGAGATTTTTAAAATTTGGACTTGTAATGGGTTTTCCACAGTTCACAGCTTAAGCTAGTGACATTTGCGGGGGAATTTTTAATAAGAACATGAACTAAAGCTGCGTGAAAAGCATCACTGACTGGTTCTTCTCATTTGCCAACAGTTTTAGGAGATTCCAAACAAAAACTGACATGAATTCCAAGTTAGTCTATTCAACAGATGCATTATTTGTAACCCTGATTACTAATGCTAGTCAGAGAAGTACAGTCTATTAATGAAGAGGACTTATAAGATCTATTTCTACTATATTTAAGCTGAAATGTAAAAATAGTACCCACCGCCAATATTCTTGGTTGGGTCCAATATGAGTTTGGTATTAGAAATATTGAATATATTTGCTGACCTCAGGATCTGGAGTCTTGTTGTAAACCTCTACTTAAGCTCCTAAACAACTTTCAGTTCACTTCTAATTTACAGAACTAGAAATGAATGTATATATGCCCATGATTTACATATATGTATATGCATCTGATTTACATACCTAGCTGTAGGTTTAGACATATAACTTTGAAACCAGAGCTCAGAACTGTAAATTTGCAGAATTTTAAGTGGCTATAACAGCATATCTTTTTTTATTGACTAGTTGGTAATTTTGCTTAATGCTTACAGTGGTTTCCAAAATCTGGCAACCCTAGAAAAACCTAGCAAAAGCAAATGTCAAAACTAGTCAAAATTACAAAGCAGAAAAAAATGAATGTACACTATGTTACAATTAGTTCAGTAATTCCTAGAACTCCTTAGGTCTGGAATAACCTATCACTATTACTATTTTAGTGAGCTGATCTCTGCTAACATTTTAACAAGGGTTGTTGTTATAGCTGTATGATCCCTTCTAAAGCATAAAGAAATTGGTTAGGAATTGAAAAGGGGAGGTGGAGGAAAAAAAAAAAAAAGATTTATCTCTCAGGCTTTAAAATCTGCAGGCTAAAAGGAATGATTGGTCCATACCCATAAATTCAATCCCAAGATGCTCTGCCAATGCAGAAAGTTGACAAAAAAAAGAAAGAAAAAGGAAAAAGTTTCAGAAAAGAGCAATACACTGTACTCAAAAACAATTCACATATGAGAATTATGTCTATTCTGTGTCTGCACATGAAACAGGACAAAGGGGCATGTGGTTACGTGGGCAGTGCTCAAGTGCACCTCTGTAAGCTACATGACCGGACCTTCTGCAAGGGTTACACAGCAAAATATGTATGGGGGATCTTAACAGCCACAGTGCAGGGGACCAGCAGGAACCACTAACCTTTAAAGATCTTACTGAGATGAAGAGTACTATGGCCTGAGGATGCCATGTGAAATGGGTGATTGTTTTCAGACAGGGACCATGAGAGCACAGGGATGCTTTACAAGTTGTGCATTGCCCTCCATTCTCACCCTGCTCCTGTCCCTGCTATGTGGCTCTTTGCTCTTGCGGGTTGCAACCTGGAGGTGGTTGGGACTGCTTGCCTAGCAGTAGGAGCCCTTCTCAGCTTTGCAAACTGACTTAAGCAGGGCTCTCGTTTCTGGAAAATGAGGAGCCAGTCTCTTTGCCCCTGCCTTTGGGCTGTGCTGCCTCGGTAGAACCACCCACTGGCTAGCTGGATTACACCCTGGGGTGCAGGGGCTGACACTGTTTACATGCCTAAACTAGCACCCCCAGGCTCCAGCAGCAAGGGGTGAGGAAGAACACAAGTTTCTCTCCAGCAGGTGCCCTAGGAGACCCCTCCCATGGGGCCAAAACCATAACCATGGTAGCTCTCACTTTGTCCTTGTGTGCCGTGAAATTTAAATCCAATCCTGATTTTCTGACCAAATTGATTTTTACGTATTTTGTACAAAGGGGGAATGTCAATTCTTTTCTGCCAATCAGTAATGTTTTAAGGGTTAAGTAAGTTGGAATCCATCCAGGTTTCTTTCTAAAAAGCCAGTATTACGTGCCTACGTGAACACTGCTAACGATATATATTAGTTGCATAGAAAGCTTGGTTAAGTCTTCAATAAAATGAATTACATGCCCATGCATATACATTGCTGTATTTATGCTTGCTTACAGGTAAGATGCCTAGCCTGGATGTAATTTAATTTTTAAGTCATTCATATCATGCAGTTTCTATTTCAAATAATTAAATGAGAAGTTGGTACTTAAAATGAGAATATATCCTGGCTCAAAGCCCTAACAAGAAAACATGCTGAAGAAACATGCATTGCTTATTCAAACCTAGACGGCATGTAGCTCTTATTTATCTTTGGTACTCCTACCTATGTTCCCTAGACCTGATTAAAAGAAAGCAGAATATCCCAACACTTTTCATTCTATAAACAGGTAATTATTTTTTGATCTTTTCCTATTTAACCTAATATCATTGCATACTTTTTATGCACACTGTGTTTTCTATTGAATATTTGTCCAGGTGCTCTGAGAAGAAATAGAATTAATTATTTTTAACAACTCAGTTTTCATGCTGGATGTGATTTTTGTAGGGGCAGTACTGGAAGTAAAAAATGCTTCAGATGCAGGTTTTTTTACAAAAAGTGACTTAAAACTACAACTCATTGGATATACTGTAGCCTGCTGAGCCACAGGGTCTACAGAACAAGAGTATGATGCCTGGAAATGCTGGAACAGGTCCTCCAGGACTGCATGCTGTGTTCATGTGTGGTGTGCCACAGCTGCTGGGCACCCAAGATTTTGGGCTGGCTATCACATAGAGTTAGGTGGGTGGGTAGCCTGGGGACATGGTGCTGTCGAGTGAGGGGTGAGCACAATTGCAGGTTTGTGTGGAGACCTTGCACTTAACAAGGGAAGGACCCATCTTGATCAGCAGCATACATGCAGCAGAGAGGTCCAGGGAGACCAATTTCATCTCTGAATGCATCTTTCATCAAGGTGCCATGTTTCTTAAGTCACTGTTTAGTTTTCTTAGAAATGTGTTCTGTGGGTAATGAAGAATTCTAAAAAAGTTTATTTTTCATGTAATTTGAATTGAAAACAAACTAAAATCCCCCAAACTATCACAGAGCAGAACCCTACATGTTGGCCAATTTTGCTTGAGGGGTTGGGATGCTGTGCCTCTTCATGAGGCTTAGTATCCATTTTGGATCCTAAATCTTGGTTCATTTCAGTAGTACTCAGGCTGAAAAACCAGTTTTGAACTGGTTTGGTTGGGATGTTAAGTCCTATGGCTCCTGTAAAAGAGTTATCCCACAACTGGTTTGAGTCTCAGATGTATAGAAGATGTCCTTTTTTTAATTATTCTGTCATAGCAATTTTAGCATTTAATGAGCATTAACTGAGCACTTTATAGTGAAAAACCATCTTCTTTAACCTTGAGCAAAACATGGACAATAACATTTTTCAAATCTGTTTGTATCACTTAGGAGTCTTGGTCTCAGCACATAAATAGTACAAGTTAGGTAGAAAATGAAAATTCCAGGTATATTCCAGTATTGTCTAGTACCCTTATACGGATGTGACCACTTAAGAAATACATAGAAATTTAGAGATACTGAGGTAACAGAATTGCAGAAAAATGGACTTTTGAAGACCTGTGGTTTATGTGGAAAGACTGAAAAACTGAGGCTCTTAAAGAGTAATAGCAGCTTTGGTCATCCCTCTAGAATATCACAGCTTTTTCCCCCTTTAATCTCTCAGCCAGGCTCACCTTGACAATATGAGGCAGGGGCTGTCATGTAAGCAGAAATTTCCCTCTGCCCTCCTTGATACTGTCCCTCTTGCTCACCAAATGTCAGACCCGAAATGGACAGTTTAAACTGGTGTCCCATGCTGAAACACTTGCCTTCAGGAAGGCAGGAACCACATCCTGAGATGGCTCACAGCATGCCGCTCAAGTTGTTCTACATTCACAATACTTCACTGTTAACTAGTGAAACAGGCTGGTGAATTGGCCCTTTGAGTGGGGCCCTTGGCCCATCTGGGGGATTTGGGAGGACTAAGAGTTTACCTGTGATTATGTTCTAGAGAAGTTTCCTCAACCTTCTGTTAATCCGAGGTTCTGCCAGTGTTCCTTATCCCAAGGATCATTCTGCACAGTGTTCCTGTAACAGTTCTCATGCACTGCTACATAACAATTAGCTAAAACTTAATGTTAATTAATTACTTTCATCTTCTTCCATTTACCATGCTTCCTTGCCTTCAAAGGAGTGAATGTATGAATGTTCAAATACAGCAAATACATCTGCAAGGAACAGATGTATTTTTGCAACATTTTATGAACCACCTTCTGGTGTCTTATGGACCAACAGTGGACCACGAGCCTCAAGGTGAAAACTGCCACAGCAAAAAGCCAGGGTACTGGGGAAAACACCTGGTAGCAGCTGTGACTGCTGTGCTCAAGGAAAGGACATCATAAGGTCTGCCAGCCAGACTTCAGAGACGAGCAAAACTAGTACAGTTTTTTCTTTAGTTTCCCTTAGTCTGCAGGGGTGTTAAGCACCAGCTGGAGGGGGAAAACTGTGTAGCTGCAGTGCTGGAGGTGACTGTGGCCATGGGGAATCTAACAGCCATCACCTCAGCCACAACAAGTTGTCCTGTGGTTTGGTGTGTTTGCAAAGCTGGAAGTCAAGGGACAGTCAGCCTGAACATGTGCTTTCCACTAGTCTCTTTCATATCCAAATGCTCACATTTCCACTGGCAGAAAGGAAAGACATTTCTGTGGAAAAACTTTAAATGGAGATCCATCTCATTTTCTATGTCCCTTTTCAACCTATTTCTAGTGCACCATGGTAACTGAATCCTCCAGGGCTAACCAAACCCTGACAAGATAAGTCAGTGTCCCTCTGTTGGGAAAATGATTTCCAAAATGCTCAGCATAGGCCTTGTTTTGATCTTGCAAAAGGCCTTCATCAAAGCTTGTAACTTCAGGACTCTTACAAATACCAACTCTAGGGCCGATTTCTGAAACTTTCAAAACCCAAATACAGAGCCTTAAGATAGTAACAGCTCATCAGTAGGCACACTGGGCATGAGACCCCATTGACCCTTTCTTTCCAAATGAAGAAAGACCCTTCTGAAAGCAAGTAAAATGAGACAGCACTGTGTAGTTCACATGTATGCTTTTGATTCCTACTGGCATTTACATTGTTTAATGTCCAGATTTGCACTGTACTTTGCAAAATCTGCATCTACAGAGCTAAGTTAATCACCCGTGACATTTGGTGCAAAACATAAGCTTGGCTTTAAGCACCACATGCAACATCTGCCTGAAAATAAATCTCATTCTAAGTCCCCTTTTTAATTGTATGCTCTGGTCTGCTTTGGGTGTAATACTAAAAAGTCATATAAATGCTTCTTCATTGATTTTTCTGTTAAATACAAATGAACCCTCACTGGACCCTTTTCAAAAGTGATTTTAAGATTTACAGCAATTTAAGAAACCCGACTTTATACTGCAGATGCAGGGTAGGCAGGAGTGCCAGAGTTCTCATAGCCATTGCCTGGGGCTCTCAGAGCAGCCTGAGGGAGATGGTGTGTTCTCCTGCCAGTGCATTTCAAGGAGAGGAGGGCTGGACTAGCTTAAGTACTTACAGCCGAGCATAACTCTTCTAGCAAGGCAAGGGCATCTATGCCTTTTCCATGGAGGCAACTTCAGAAAATCTCAGCCTGATGTCTGTTGCTCAAAGATTCCTTTAAAATCCCAACCGAAGTTGGGAAACTGAAAAACTAATGAAGGAAAACCCACCTAAATATATATATATTTTTTCCCCTGGGTAGGAAAATTAATTTGTGATCAACATACAATTCTTCCATAGTTTTCAGGGTAAATTCAGCAGCAAACAATGGGTCTTACATTTTTACACCATCTCCTTTTAAATTATCCTTCTAAAATCAGAAAAACTTAACTGCACTTTTCACCACAATACACAGAAAAAGCCATTTAAATCTAACATTTGGTAAATTTAAACATTGTAACAGCATAAAAATTTTCAAATCCTTTGTTACCAGAGGCATTTTAAAGATAACTCACACTAATAAAGCTTTTAAAACAGGGCATAAAATACACACTTGAATGCTGGAAGGTCTGGTCTCCAGTCAACACCCTTGGGATTTACATGGGTAGCTTCCGTGATGGGCAGTATGAATTATGTATGGACATTTTTCATCCATCAGTATAAGAGAAAACCTATGCACCTCTTCAGGCTCCAATATGTCCAGCACATGCTAACAGCTTTTTGTCCTATATACTATATACTAATGGAAATTAAATTAAGCTAGCCTATATTCTCTGAAATCTTTCTGTGCTGGCAAGTAATACATCAAAAAAACATCCTATAATATTACTCTTAGATCACAGTGCATTCTGATGCCAGCAACAATTAATTATGAATAGTACACATGCATTAAAATGTAAGATCTTAGCAATTTTCTTGTGTTACCTTTGACTTTGCTATAGCCAATGAGAGAAAATAAATATTCAGTCTACTTTCTGTTTCCTCCCTGACAAGTAATAATGATTAACCAGTCCTTCCATGGGAAAGCTTATGAGATATGTGACTGCAGTGCTGATTTAACCAGTAGTCTGACACTGAGTACTCTGTGTGTATATGTGTGTGTGTGTGTGTGTCTGGTACATTTCTTAGGCCAATTAACCTGGCTCTGAAATACTCAATCTCTTGCAGCTGATACCCACAAATAAATACATCAGACCCCATTGTTTATGTCATCTCTCCCCCTTTTCTTTTTATTTCCGTGCTCTTTCCTCTGAAACTTGGACAATGAAGAGGAAGAACACTTTGATCCTGTTGGCATGTGCTTATTAAAAACAATGTAAGCACATCAGTTAATTACCTTTAACTTGTAGGTCCAAATACAAATCTCATATCCAAGTAGAGGATTAACTACCTGTCCCTTTGTGGGGGAGTACTGTCCTGTATAGAGACTCATAAGCTTTTTGTGGCAAATAAAACGTGAGACTTTCAAAATTTTTGCACTGTTACTGCTTGATGTCAGTGGGGAGTCTGTATCACACCATTCAGTGTTAATTTCACAGCGTTCCTAAGTCTTGCATTTCCCCATAACCTCAATGACAAACAATCCAGGAGAGTATTACAATTGCTTTTTGTTATTTTCATGCAACAGGCAGAGTCAATCAATATTAGGCCTTAGGCACCAAATCTAGTTAGAGATTTAAAAAAAAAAAAAAAGTTGGAGGAAAGATGCAGCAACAAGAAAGCAGCACCGACTGAGCATGCTTCTACTGCGGCACAGACAGAAAGGTAGTGGACGTACTGTAGAAGCTGGCCATTACGTAGTTTTGGCAGCGATCACCAGTAAATTCATTTGGGCACCTGAGAGGAAAAACAAACAAAAAAAATGGTAGAGAAAAAACAGAGAAAAGAGAAGAGGTGAATATATGCTAAGAAAGAAGCTCCTTCAGTGTGAACTGATATGACTTGGTGAGTTCACTTTCAGAAACTGAATCTCGGTTTAGCATGTCAAAATGGCTCAAGATGCTGGGAGCAACTCATTTGCTCTGTGTGAATGAAGAAATTCCCCCCGTGAAAAACCAGACAAACCCAAACCAATCCAGATCAAAGTGTGTTTCAAGATGTCAGAAAGAAATCCACCATTCCAAATTCCAAAATTGCTTTTAGGATGCACTTTCCACAAGGCAGCAAGGACACAAGATCTGTAAATCACTCATCTCCGTGAGTCTGCTCTTTTAAGGTTGCACTTTATAGCAGTCTCCCAAACAAGAAAGCTGCCAGTGTGTGCAATACAAATGCATCTGTGAACGGATGGAAAGATCAAAAATCACACAAATGAGAAACATTTTGGAGGTCAATAATGCCATGGTGTACAGATTTTACTTTAGAGAATCAGGTCATAAATTAGTATGTAAAGAGGCCGGTTCCAGCTGAACTGTGAAAACACCAAGTACTATTGATTTTGTTGCTGTAGTTGGGGAAGAAAGCAAAGTTCAGATTATTTTAACATACTTTCTTGGTTTTGGATTTTCATGGGCAGAGTTTCAGTACATCTTGCTCCAGTGAATCCAGGTTGGCACCTAAAGGGCAAAAATGTGGTAAGCAATAGTACACCAAAACCACTGCACTAACAGACTGACATCTGCTCGCCTACGGAGATGGGAGTGCATTAAGTGACCTCCTGGTTAGGTGCTAGTGCAAAATGATCAGAAAAGGGGCAAGAAAGTATACGTTTCCAGAAGATAACACTTTGCAAAATTTACAGCAAAAATCCACCACAGAAAAGATCTAGGAAGTCTTTTTGTTTGTCCGTTTTGAAAAGGAAGGAAGAATCAGGACTAGCAAAAATGTGTATCAGCTCATTGCTCATTCCACCTCATGAAGGGACCAGATTGAGTTTTTTTAATTTGCAATGCAGTATGTAACAGCAATTTATACTTTTGCTTTCATCAGTCACATAAAATCTATGAAAATATGATGATTTCCCTATTTCTGTAATGGAATGTTGTGCTGTCCAGTAATTTCCTTTGAAGGGCAATAGTTAAAAGAACAATCACAGAAAGTAAAAAAAAAAACCTCAAAAAGTGAGAAGACAAACTCAAATCCAAAGGCAGGCAGTATATTTAACATGGCTGACAAATGGAAAAATGGTCAGTCCAGTCAATAAGTAAGATGAGAGGGCAGAGGTACTCTCAAAATTTGAATCCCCACAGCTGTCCTCCCTTTCAGTTCACAACCTCTTCTGCAGAAAATTTCAGTGCAGCTTTCCTCTTGGTTATAGTGAAGGAATTTATCTTCCATGCCTTGTCTGCATTTTCTTCTACTGGCTGTCAATTCTTCCTTCACTTTTAGTCACAATTTTGAGGCAGAACTCAGGTGTTTGCTCCCAAAATATCATCATAGCAATGCAAACTCGTGTTCTTCAAACGTTAAGTGTGAATGACTGTCCACCACACTAAACATCTATAGATTTCGATATTCTTTCCTTCTCCTTCTTCTGTCCACTCTACTCAGTGTGTAACCCAAAATTACCTGGTATTCCTATTCCTTGAATGCAGCTTACTTGCACTGCTTCTCTTTCTGGTGCTCTCCATGAGTTTGCCATGGTGCAAGAATCTCCCCCTCTTCCTCTCCTGCTGCCAGTCTGGTGCTCGCCTCTTTTTCAAACTGCTTCATCATTTAGTCACCACTGGCAAAAGAGCTTTCTCCTTTGCAAATGCAAGTTGTTTGGAACAATCCTCCAGCTACAGCTCTTCTGTCCATCCTGATTTTTAAAATTCTACTGTTCCACAATTGCCTCTAGCCCTAAGGGTCAGGGATGCTGCCCTTGTGCAAGTGGAACTTCCAGAAAAGCACTTTGGCAGAGTACCACTGTCAGGCATAAACACTACTATCTTGTTCAAATGAACCACACAGGAATGTTTTTGTCTAACAAAGGTATGTTTTTGAGGATCTGCAGGTGAGTCTTTGGAGCTCATTTGCTGTAATGATGTATTTGTTTATCAAGGAAGGGAGTTTATGTTCTTCAGAGCCAAGTCACATCTTCTGATAAGTACCCAATGTGGAGAGACCTCAGTCTTCACAAATATAGTCAGCTGAGAAAATTGCAACAAGGATAACTCTGTCATGAAAAGGTGATATTGCTGGGCATGAGAGAAGACTTTTTGCATCTTTGATAAAAGGCATTTTGACCTGTGTTACGGAATGAGAGTAAAAATGTTTTACCCCTGTGATTTCAGTTTTATTCTGCACTATGATGATCTTGTTATATACCCATCCCTGGAAAGCTGGTGTTCATACTGGCATTGGCTTTCATTTCACAGGGACCTCTGCATCTCATTCGTCAGGCTCAACCCTACAGAACCCCAAAGAACATGCTGCTGATTAAAAGTCTTAGGCTTTGCTCCTGCCACTGGCCTGTGGTGGTCGCTTCCTCTGCCTGTGCTTGTTTTCACATGTTGGTGCAGTTGTGGAGGTGACGAGAACAGCTTGACCCCTGGTGCACTCATGCAGACAATTCTGAAATTGCTTCCAGGCCAAGCAGGATCAGCCCTGTTGAGATGGTGCTGAAAACAGTTCAGGTGTGTTTATACTCACTCTGAAACCCTTGTAAGCAAATGGACTGCAGCATCTGCAAGGGAGAATGGGTCCAGGGTGGGCCAGCAGAGATGAGAGACATAAGCCTCTCTGTTTATGAGTATGCATGAATGCTAAACGCATTGTGATGTGCAGTGCAGCACCATTTCCAGTGCTGTTTGGGAGGTTGTTTACTGCAGACTGTGTTTTTACAAACAGATTGCAATGGTGTTGTTTCCAAAACACCTTGCCCTACTCAGTTTATTTCTTGTTGTGTCTTTCTTTTCTAGTTCATTACCCATGTACCATTTTCTTTTACCATACTAGCAAAACCTGGAGTCAAGCAACTGGGGGCAACAGAGATGCCTTACACAAGTAGACAGCTGTGCACAAGAGCCCTATGATTTCCTTTCTGCCTAAGAAAAAGGCTACTTGGACTATTTATTTATTGTATTAACTGGGTAAAACCACAACGCTAAGCCACATATACTAAAATAATTGCTTTTTTCCTCTACAGTAGTTGCAAAGAGCAGTATGTGCATGCGTTCAGAAGGCACGTCTCAGAACATCGAACATATATCATCAAACAGTGTTTTTCAGCAAGAGAGGAATGGCTGAATGGATCAGGACTCCACACTTCCATTTTATCCATTGCCTATAAGCAAATCCATTGTGGGAGAATGCTTTTTTTCATGGGAAGTACTGTACACTTCCATATTTAGTAGGCTATTTCATATCCTAAGTCAGAACTAGTATTTCCATCCTGCCTGTTGAATGTCTCTGGAACTTTTGCTAGCATCACTGAAACAAATTTTCTCTTCTTGCTGTTTTCAAGAACCTTCTGTCAATTCTGTTCTACCAAGGGTGTTACATGAAGGCAGCTATAGGAACTGGCTATACCATTAAATAATTCATGTAATTCACTTTCTTACTGTTAAGAAAAGAAGTAGCATCCTTCTGCTAGAAAGGAGCATTATTTTCATACAGTGAAATTCAGACATAAATTCATTTCCTCAGTAACAGCAAAATCACTACAAAAGATGATCTCTGTGAGTAAGGAATCAGTCAGAACAGCAAGGCCGTCACGGTTGGATACTTCAAAGGAACACTCTAAAAGCGTAACACATATTATATTCATATAGATTTTTCTTCAAGTAAGAAGCAAATGCTAGGAATTCTCTTCTTAATTTTGTATTTATTGAAGAAGCTATCTGATTTTTTTGTCTTTAGTGAACTTGGCGACACATTTCCAACTGAACAGAAATGACTCAGGAACATCAGTCTCATAGGACGCCAGTAATGTCTATGCTTCCAAAGTCTATGATGTTTTAAAAATGTGACTCCTGTTCCTATGAAACTTTTGAAAAATTTGTATATTAGTTTATTTAGGTAGTCTCAAAGCTTCCTTTTTCACAGTAAGAGATTGTTTTGTTCAGTCTGGTGCCACAATTAAAATACATGCAGGGAACACACACGCTACCATAGATGTAGCTGTACAATCCATTATTCAGTTTTCACACATCTCTTGAGTGTTTTACATGTTTATGTCTTGAAAGCGGGGAATTTTCTCAAGGTTCACACCAGCATCCGTGAGAGCAAGATCTGATCCAGTCTGGATCATTATGCTGTACATTTTACAAAACACGGTTAGTTTTTTGCGTGTGGTGTGGGGTTTTTTGTTGTTGTTGTTGTTTTTGGTTTTGGTTTATTTTTTTAAATATAGAGCTAGATTTTAACAGAAAGTGGATTTAGGAGCTCCTTTTTTAAAAAACAGAATAAGGGTTTACAAAATCAGAGATATCACTTGGAAAATTCCATGGTTGTTGTGAATCTGAGTCACATTTTTTTTGATTAGGGATAAAACCAATTTAGAATTATATGGCTCATGATTTAGAAATTTTGTTTTTGCTCCCAACAGATGGACCATATGGAAAAATGTGAACCTGCTACTAAGAGAGAAATATGAAGAGCAAGTACCATATTTCAAGCATTCTGTTTCCACAGGCATGTTCTGGGGGAAGATTTATTTTCTCAGAACAATGGAGGCAACATGTACTGGTTAGATACTTATTTTAGTTAACACTGGAATACTCGAATTAAAAGTAGACATCTGTATTTTTAATGAAACAAGAAGAGAACCATACTGTATCTTTTCAGTTTCCCAGTAGAGGCACTTTCAAGTACTCACAAATTTATTCTTATGTGCCTGTATTGCATCCTCTTTTGCTACAGAACATAGTTTCAAATCTGGCAAGTATTAGAGGGCATAGTGAAAGGCCCTACAAAATAGCGGTGGCCCTGACTGTTCTCAGGATAAGAATCTTTTTCCACTGCCTTACTGAAAATGAGATTCACCCTCTCAGATGTTACAGCTCTGATGCTTTTTCCAAATAGGTCTTGGGCCACCCAGAGAGAGGCACATCTGCCAAATTTGGGAACTGCCTTTTCTTTCAACTCCAGCCCTAGAATTAAAGGTTATTTCTTGTCTACATGAGGGAAAAAAAAAAAATCTCCTCTCCATTCAAGTGTCTCCAAGTCATTTAATTAAAAAAATTAGCCAATCTATAACATCAAAGAACAAATGTCGTCAGATCTCAGAATTAAAAAAAAAAAGTCCCTGTACCAGGGAAAACAGGATACCTCTGAAACTGTCAAGACAATGATAACTATTAGCAATTCTGCTAGATGCTCAGCTCTGCTGCCCTGGAGTTGTCTGAGCTGTGTTTGGACAGGAAGTTGAAACAGGCAGGTAGGCTCTTGTACATGCCCTGGAGAGTTACAGCAAACTGCTTATCTTGTACTGCTGGTTTACAACAGTCTTGTAAATTTAAAACAAATCTTTCTCTCTTGCTCTCTCTCAAAAAAAAAAAAAAAAAAAAAAGAATCCAGCCCACCGGAGCCAGTAACTATTCCATATTCACTTTAGCTAAAAATGATTCTAAAATTAATGAAATATTCATCACTTTTTGCAACGGAGCAATCTGTGGAAAAAAAAAGCTCACAAAGTGCAGGTATCATCCTTCTACAAAAAAAGAAAACTCAGAAGTAAAGCAGAACATTGTGGGGTTTGATGTTTGTGTGTTTTTTTGGGGTGTTTTTTCCCTTTTCTTTTAATTAACAACAGAGACAAGCAGCCTATGCCTTCCTGGCCTAATGAAAGCACCACAGACCGTCACCTAAATCACCCATCTGAGTCATCTTTACAATTAGTGTTGGTTGATTTTTAGTCCTAGAAGACTGAAAATCTATGCAGCTACAGCAGATGACAATCTTTATTGTCCACTGTCTCTTGTCTGTCTAAAAACCAGTGACATCCTCACGAAAGTGCTCCCCTTACGCTCAGTCCTGCTAGGTGCCAAAGATGTTTCCTGGGGTTTAAATGCTGAGTTCCCTCTCAAGCCAGAGAGATGCAGTAAGTTACTATGACTAGTTCAGCTCCAGAGGTAAATGCTACACGATATGCCACCAGGCAGGAGCTGAACTCCAGTGCTGCAGCTCTTCATGGATGTTCAACAACATAATGGACTATCACAAGAGCCCGATATAGCACAGGTCAGGACTTGAGAAAGGTGCACAAGCACACCCTTAAAATTAAACTCATATGACTTCTTGAATCAAGATGATTAATTGTTTTTTTATGCAATTAAACACAACAGCAAAAACTCCCGTTGTGAATCCAGTCTCATCAGAAAGTGTTCTGTTACTCCTGCAGACAATAAAAATAACCATTTTGATCTGTATAAATGGTACTTATCCAATGCAGTTATCCACACAACTTTTTTTGCTATTTGCAGTGTATTTAGTTTACACTATCTGTTTCATCATTTCTGATATAAGGCTCAAGTTGTGTTACTTCATGCCATGTAAACATCAATGGGGATTGTTGTGCCATTATCATGAGGGAGGATTTCCCGGTTAGCTTCTGTTATACCTCATATATGGAACACAGAGGTCATTCTTGGTAGATTATTTTCAGATCCACATACTTAAAAAATGAAGAAGTATCTAATGCCACAAGTACTGGAGAATAAATTGTTCAGGTGCTCCTTTAAAGAAAAAGCATTTATGGAACTTGGTGGCTCCACCAAAATAAGCAAATAGGATTTCTTACCTGCACAAGTATCTTGGGGGGTTTGGGAGGTCTTTAACCATGTAACACTCTCCCCCATTTACACAGAAGGCCTTCTGCTTTATGTCACATTTCGTGAGATGACTTGTCCCAGTTGTAGATGTGGAAGTGGCTGGAAAAGACAAGCATGAAAATATGGATTAGAATGGCTTAGGCTTTTCTTCCTGATTAGTAAGTGTACTTGTACGACAGGGAAGAAGTAAGGCCAGGGAGGATCTGGGAAGTCCTCTAAGCTCTCTATCTGCTGCTACCACAAACACTAATTGCCTGACCTTGTATTTTGTTGATCAACACAGGGAGTGGAGTTTAAACACGTACCTCGGAGATTTGCTACCCTACACCCAGCCTGGGCGTAAGGAAGGATTTCACCAGCCTTGTCCATCAAATGACCTTAAATTTCTGACACACTCATGTATTCAATTAAAAAATGTGTAATTTATGTGCAGTTACTTAAACTGCATTAATTGCATTCAAGTGATTGTGGGGTGTGAAAGGCATTACAGACTGCTGATATACTGCCCAATAAAATGAGGGCATGGATGAGGTTTCTTTGTGACTTTGCCTTGAAGTAGGTGTTTTTTCAGTGTAGCTGAACATGAGGCCTTGTGCTGATTCAACCCTTCGGGACTGAACCCCTTGGTCCAGCCAGTGCTTTTTTCCCAGGTGAGATGGTGACCAGCTGAACACTGAATGCCTCTTCCCCTGCTCATAAATAAGAGCTGTGGCTACTCTGTCTCCACTCTGTAGGGAGGGAGAGGACAGGTGGGCTGGAGGCATTGTCCCTTCCTGTGCATATATGGTTGCCACCCTTGTGTCCACAGGAGGCTTTCATCTGGAGGCCCACCTAGCATCTCCTGCACATGCGTTCATCTGCAGGAAGTATTAACAGTTCTGGGCCACCAATGCTGCTAGACACCATTAGGTGTCTAAATTATTATTATATGGAAGTACTTCTGTGCCTTCAGTGTTTCTTAGCTTATTCTCTGCTGTGTTTAGGAATACCTGGAGAAGGCAGAAGCAGGGATTAGTTAGTAAACTTTAAGGAGGCTGCTAGGGTAGGATGAGAAATCCCAGCTTTAGGATTTGCCCATGCAATGTTTGTCAAGGAAATATAGTGCCCAGACCAAAGGAAGCAGTACTGTAGGAGAGACAGTGCTCAAAAAGTCCCTACTGCAGTCACTGCTGGTAACTACTGGTGTAAGGTGAATCTGCCTGAGGTTGCCCTAATCTAGCTAATAGCAATAGGGATGATGGGGAGGCCATATTATGTTCTCAGCTCTTCACCCTCTCTGTACCTGCAAAATCACCTTCATGAGCCGCGTTAAACCTAAGACAGGCATGTACCTGCTAGGCTGCAGCTGCAGACTCAAACTACAAGCACTGGTTGCCCCTTAGTTTGGAGAAGTTTTGCTCTAAATTCTGTCAAAAGAGTGTAGGAATGCTTGAAGCCTGGACACCAGTCAGTACCCAGCTCAGGAACCACACAACTGATGGACCATGGGACTTCTGGCAAGTAATTCAGGTTAATAATTTCACTTGATTTTATCTGCCTAAAGCTGAATTGTATAGTTGTAAGGCACTCTCCACTACTCACGGAAAGCAGCTCAACTTGTCCACCCAATGGATGGGATAAACAGTCTCTCTGATGGTGTCTGTCTCCCTGCACTGACTGCAAAGCAAGTGTAAACTCTTGAGAATATGCCCCTATTTTTAAAAATAGCTGAAAGTAGCTGAAGTGACCATCTGTCATCTGTAAAAAGTGGGGAAGATTCCTGCATGGTTTTTGTTTAGCCATCTCCAGGCACACAGAAGTAAGAAATTTGAGAACAAATCTCAATATTTTTATTTCTGAAAGATAGCTTCTACCCTGAGGGGGAACAATGCTCTTATCTACTGACTTGATTCCACTGGAGTTGACTAGAAAGCTGCAAGCACTTACACAAAAGTTGTTTGATATTCAAAGCCTTTTCTAACATGAAGGCAACCAAGCAGCATGTTTATAGTAGGTGATGCATGACATTCTATAATTTACTGCACACATTGAATCCAAAGAAAATATGCTTTTAGCAGATCGGCTATCAACAAATACCACGTATACATTTCAAGTTCTACTTTCTGAGAAAAAAGATGTAGTCTCTGTCACATCTGATTTTCATGTGTTTCCCATCATCTTCCAGGTAAAACTGCTTTGTTATCACTCAGCACTTGGGAGAATGGGTCATCTTGGCTGGCACCATTTTCAGAGTGGCTTTAGCTATCTTGTTTCAATGATAAATGAAGTAGTGCCTGGGGTATTTAAGTTCCCCCTCTTAGTCCATCAGAATCCCATCTGCCTGTACAGCTAAAGTCCCTCATAGTCCTCCCTCCTGTGCTGTTGACCACCTACAGGCCAGCTTCTTTCTCTTTCTTCCATGCTGCCTTGTTTTCAAGCGGTGCCCTCCTCCGACGGGCCTCTTGGGACCTCCTCAAAAACTCAAGCTCCCTCCTGCTTTTCACTGTTGCACCCACCCATTGTGTCACATCTCCCCAGGTCCTGATCTTGACTGGGGCCTCTAAGTGACAATGACATGCAAACACGGAGTACTAATTCCTCGTAATAACACATTCCTTTCTCCTGGCCCCTCAAAAGCAGGATTTATAACCTCTCAAACCATGATAAATTTCTGCCTGGTCTACAGGCAGGAAAAGGGGTCATGTTTTAAGTTCTTTCAGCTAACACCAGTTCAAACAGGACTTTGCAGCCAATGTTGACAAAAGGCTGGCCAACAGATTGCCATCAGCTCAGCGGTGAAGGGTCATCTATGCTTGATGTCAGTAGGTTGGCCACCATCCTTGACATCAGTCTTAGGATGGGGAGATTTGCCTTGTGGAAAAGCCTTTCCTTCCTCACTGGCTTAAAAGGAGCCTGGGTTATTAGCCCAAAGGACATGCCTGACATGACAGGCTACATCATGCCAAGACCTAAGATGTGACAAACATGGGTGAGTGAATCTCATCTATGTAGTAAGGCGCATTTTGAAGCCTTTGTGACTCTTAACAGGCAAACTCAGTATTAAGCTTATCCCTGCTGATAGCCTATCCGCCGTGTCCTTTTACCTTACTTCATCCTGCAAGTACGAGAAGCATTCTGAGGATGTCTGCGAGCTCAGAAAGCTAATACATTAATTTAGAAGGGAAAAAAAACAATATTGTGTGCAGCATTTCTGACAAAAAAACCATTTTGCTACCCTGCTGGCTAATGTAATGTTTTAAATTGAATTATAAAGGTAGATATAGTATCAAGTGGGCTCATAGCTGTGTCTAATTGTTTTCATCATATTGCTTACTGCATTTTCTTTAAGCAGCAACTCAAAAGCAGATCACCATGGAGTTTCAAAGTAACAGTTATTTCCCAGCTGATGCAAGTGAGCTTTGGATAGCAACAATTGCCCTGAACTGATTACTAGAGATGGGAATAATCTGCAGCTCTCAGAGAAATCTCACGACATAAGGAGTTCACATGTATTTGTGAGGAGTGCCTCCACCCACGTTTTTGGCGTCACATGTTCAAAACTGTTGTATAAATCTTGTGCGAGAATTTTCTCTGCTTTACTGATCCACTGGCACCACAGTCCTGACCTGCCTGAGTTTTGTAACTCCATGGGGTGCAGGGAGGAAAAAAGTCTCCAGTGAGTTAATTCTGGTATTAGTTTTTCTTTGCAAAGGATGAATAGTTTTGCTGGCACATGGCCAGTATTCAGTGCATGCACTGTAAGCCTATTTTGCAAATTAAATACAAGAAACACTAACTACGGTTTTGGGTTTCACTTAAAGCCACATAACGGAAGAAATGTGGTGTTTGGGAGCAGATGTTCATCAGACCCCATTTCATACAGCCCATAAGTAGCCCCCAAACACTGCCTTTCCATACATCTCTAGCAGACACGGGCTTGGAGGACGTACAATGGAAATGACCAGCAGTGGTGAGGTAAAGCACAGCTGTAGACCTCGTATCTGTGCACTGTTCTTTATTCACCTAGCCAAAATTCATACCTCCTTTCTTTTCTGTAATGTTTTCTTCGGCTATACAAGCACAAGACATAAAAGCTGATTTGTTTGAGAGTCCTATATCAAACCCCTAGTTTACTGAAAGGACTAAATTACATGCTGTAGTGACATTTGAAAATACCATGCATGAGACAACATCTGAAAACACTGAATACTCTATCTTTTTTTTCCCCTGAATGCAGAAACACCATACTTAAAAAAGCAACTGCAGGCAGCACAAACCAAGTCCCCACTAATGCGAATATTCACATGGCACTGAAAAATGAGATCTGCTCCCATCTATGAAAACCACTTAAAACTGTTAAAAAGAAAAGAAACAAGAGCTATTGCATCTTTCAGAAAATACTCTCTAAAGCATTATTTATTGCTGCAAAACTACCTTAGGATCATTTCATATCAAGCAGCCACAACTTCATGTAATTCTGAGCTTACCTGGGGAATCTCTGACTGTTTTTTGTCCTGAAACAGAAAAATGCATTCTCTCTCTGTTTCTTCCTTTCCGAAAACCTCTCTGCAGTTCAGTGGCTACAGCAGTGGGACTGCCAGGCCCTGCAAAGGTGAGGCAGTCTGCTGAGAGGAGCCCTAAGGGATCTCTGAGTAAAGACTAAGAGGGAAGGGCTTTGCCACCTAAACAGAATAGTATCCATGCCTCTGAACTGAGTTTCTGCAAAGCCGGTGTAAAATCAGTGGATGCGCTCAAAGTCACACAAGGTGACTAGTAAGATGCTTATGACTCAGTGGAGACAAAGCCAAGTGGCAGCTGCAGCACAAAGGAAAGGTTTGCCATTCTCACTGCAAGGCCAGTTCTCTGATGTAAATATGTCACCTTATTGGACTGTAGGTGGAGATCTTTCCAGTTTCCTTTTGTGAACAAAAAGAGTAAATTACTGGGGAGGAACAAAACAAATACTTCTGCATATCACTGTTTTCTGAGACTAAGGCTGAGCAAAGCCTACTTGCAGGTGATGTCAATGGAAGAGGTAGGGAACTGCATGGAGAGAGGGAGGGACAGAAGGAGAGAAGAAGGGGGAGGGAGAGTGCACAAAAGCAAGCTTTGGGGTGACAAAGGGCTAAGGGGTCTGCACCGTCTTCCCCTGTGATGGCCGATTCCTCCATGCAGACAGAGCTTCAGACAGCAGAGGCAACCGTACAGACCTTGGTATGTGGGAGGTGCCTGAACTACTCTCCTGGGGTGGGGATGGGAGACAAACCATCCTGCAATAGGTGTGCGCAGGTGGACCAGCTCCTAGAACAGGTGGCCAAACTGCAGGAGGAAGTGTCAAGATTGAGGAATATTAGGGAGTGTGAGCAGGAGATAGATGGGTGGAGCCGCACCCTGCCATCCCAGAGACAAAGGCAGGAAACAGAGGCTCCACAAGAAGCAGAGGATCCCCTCCCCTCTAGCCAGCAGGGCCAAGGACGGGACCTAAGAGAAGGGGGAGAATGGAAA